GGTCACTGGTTTTTGTGGGGTGGGGGTGGGGGGTGCGTGGCGGGATGTGGTGGTGGTAGAGGATTGTGCAAAGGGATGGGTCTCCCACCATGTAAAACCAGCAGGGACAGGAACTTGGACACTGGGAGGAAGCCACCTTTTGGGTGACAATCTCTTGTTCCTGGCCATAGGGTGTCCCTTTCCCTTTAGAGCAGCAGGGCCCAGGGTGAGGTGAGGATCTCAGCATTAAAGTGCTGTCCTCCCCTTTCAACAGAAGGACATGGTCCAGGCGAAGGCTAATGTTCTGTGCGAGATGTGTGAGTACGTGGTGAAGGAGGTGGTCAAGCTGATTGACAACAACAAAACCGAGGTATGTGCATTTCTAGAATGCTAGAGTACCCCCGTTCCCCAAAGGCAGAAGCGGCCGAAGAGGTGGACTCAGCCATCGCTAGCAGTGGACACCAGCCCTGGGAATCTGCATACCCCCTGCGCACCAGTGGATCCCTCTGGGCTGGGGTCGGGCCTGTTTCATAGGTCTTGTCTTTTTGGGGAGGAGAGAGCATCTTGCTGTTGGCTGGTTTCCTGGTCATGTTAGTATTACTGAGAATCTTTCCTAGGCCTGTCCAGCCTCTCCATCTTCTGATACGATCCTCTTGTTTTGTGTTTCAGGAAGAAATAATTCACACTTTGGGTAACGTGTGCTCAAAATTGCCTGTATCCTTGTCTGAAGAGTGCCAAGAGGTGGTGGAGACTTACGGCTCCTCCATCCTGTCCATCCTCCTGCAGGAGGTGAGCCCTGAAGTGGTGTGCAGCGTGCTGCATCTCTGCTCCACCCAGGGGCTGCCTGTGCTGCCTGGTGAGTAGGGTGAGGGTGTGGCTGGCTGGCCCCTCGGCTTGGAAGGGCCCTGCCAGTACTCAGCCTGTGCTCCCTGTGCGTAGTACGCGTGATTCAGCCGAAGGATGGTGGCTTCTGTGAGGTATGCAAGAAGCTGGTGAGCTATTTGGACCACAACCTGGAGAAAAACAGCACAAAGCAGGAGATCCTGGCTGCTCTTGAGAAAGGCTGCAGCTTCCTGCCTGACCCATACCAGAAGCAGGTATGCCCCTGGCTGCTTTGGCCCAGAATGTCAGAACCTGCCTGGAGAGCACAAAGGCTGGGGTAGCTCATTGATTGTACCTGTGATTGAGGTTTTTGGGGGGAAAAGCTAGCTGTTTCTTAGAGGCAGTCTGTTGGCTCAGGGGGAGCCACTGGGAGAGATAACAGGAGCAGGTGAGATGAGGCTGAGTGTGGGTGGGTGGGCATTTGGGAAGGGGGTCCTGGGTTGGCAGTGGCAGGAATTCTTTTGGAAGAACATGTGTGGCGCCCCTCCTTTGTGCCCCCACTCTGTGTGGACACCCTTAGACCTGGGTGTGCATCTGTGTTTACCTAACAGTGCGATCAGTTTGTGACTGAGTATGAGCCCGTGCTGATCGAAGTCCTGGTGGAGGTGATGGACCCTTCCTTCGTGTGCTTGGTAAGTTCCTCTGGGTGGCTCTGCATGGAAGGGCTCCTCTGAGGTTGCGGCAAAGTCTCGGGCAGGGGGGTGGGAGGACATTTCTAGGCCTGCAGCACTTCACTCGGCAGTGCTGACTTTTTGGAAGCACATGTCGGAGCTCTGATTGTAGCTGCTTCTAAAAGCCGGTGATCTCTGGTTTTGGAAAGGATCGGTAGAGCGGATCTAATTCTTTCCTCCTCCATTTCCCCTTTTTTCACCGTATAGAAAATTGGAGCCTGCCCTGCAGTCCGTAAGCCTCTCTTGGGAACTGAGAAGTGTGTCTGGGGCCCTAGCTACTGGTGCCAGAGCATGGAGGCGGCGACCCAGTGCAATGTGAGTAGCCTAGCGAGTGCTCCGCAGGCCTGCCTTGTCATTTGGGCAGCTCCCACAACAGTCCTGTGTCAGTAGGCCCCTCTGCAGTCAGCTCTCTGCCCTGCCTTCATGTCCAGGGGGTGGGGGATATATGAGGCCCAGGGGAGCGATTAGGCTTATCTATCTTGGCCCAGTAAAGGCAGGAAGACTGAGCTCTTGCCCTTGAGAAGGGTGGGGGTGTGCTTCAGTATTTTTGTGCTTCTGCTTTCCTGTTCTTGGCTTTAATTCTCCTGTGACAGGGTCAGGCTCACATTCACATGAGGCCACCCCTGAGATTGCACAAGTCCTATCCCTTGGGTGGGTCTTAAGCCCGGCCTGAATCTTCACCTGAGACCAGACGGCTGTTCTCGAATGGTCCTGAGAGCTGGCACCACCCAGGTGTTGCAGGGTGCTGTGGCGCTGACTTGACCGCACAGCCGCCGGCGGTGCCCCACGCTGCTTTCTTGGGTGGAGACGTGTGTGGACCAGTTGGTTACCTAATGTTCCTTTGTGCAACTTTTTCTTCCTCGAGCGGGTTCCTCGTGACCATGGGGCATGACTGTGCTGGTGTGGTTGCATCAGTTTGGCGACGCCCATCCCGGCCACAAGGGGCTCCTTGTTCCTCCAGGCCTGGCCCACAGCACAGTCAGTAGAGGAGTAGGCTTTTGCTGCTGTTCCGGGCAGATGTGCCCGAGGGGCCATTGCCCTCCGGGCCAGAGCTGGTGTGCACCCAGTTGGGTGGGGAGTTTTGCCCTGGGGGCCCCTCCGTGCCACCTGCTGAGTGCCAGGACTCCGAGTGTAATCAGATGGGAGGGGACCTGGGCCCTACGTGCATGGGTGCTCATCTGGAAAACATGCAAGTGCTTTGTAGCTGCTGCCCTGGATGCTTGCCTCAGGAGTCCCCAACACTGGGGTGGACACGCGCTCCCCAGTTTTAAATGAGGCGCTGTCTAGCTGACTCAGGACAAGACAGCTGGTCCCAGTTTTGGGTGATGTCTGATGCACTAATGGGCCAGGGGTGGAATTTGTCACATGAAGGCTAAACGCAGTTTCCTCTCTCCTGTCAGGCTGTCGAGCATTGCAAACGTCACGTGTGGAACTAGAAGGGATGTTCCTTGGAGAAACTGCAGCATCTTTTCCTACTTGTGTGTCTGGGGGCAGCGAACACAGATCTGTCGACTCTGTTATAAAAATAGGACCCCCTTTCCCCTCCCCTCATTTCCTGTCTCCTGATTGTAGCATTGCCGTCAGTGGGGGAGGCGTCTTGCCCTCTGCCACCCATAGCCGCTTCAGTGTCCCTTTCCTTTGCCTAGACAGGTGAGGGTGTCCTGTGCGCCGGGAGTCTTTCAGCCTGCCCTTGTGGTGGGTCCCGGCCCGGGCCTTGTTCTGAGCCCTCTGCCTACCCCATGCGGGGACCGCCCCTCTTCTGGGCCGATTGGCTGCTATTCATAGCAGCAAGACAAAGGCAGTTTTATAAGAAAGATTAGAGGCTCAGAATAATTAGGCTTTTTAAAACCGCGTTTTCACCATAGGGAGGATTTAGGAAGCAGCTGCTCAGGAGACCTGGGTGAGGCTTAGGTTTGTGTCGACCTTCGTTTCAGCTTTCCTGTGTCTTTGCTGGTGATGCCTTGTTTGGGGTTCTGTGGGTTTGGGTGGGAGGGGCAAACCTGCCTGAATGTAATCTGCTAGCTCCACGTGGAGGTCCTGTGGGTCTGCTTTTGCGTGTGAGCGTGGACAGTGATGACCACCTCTTGCTTTTGTGTTTGCGTGGCCGTGGAAGCCTTGCTTTTTTGTGCGTCCGTACTGCTGCCCAGGGCCTGCCTTTGCTCTCTCTGCTCCAATCCTCATTTCGAAGATGTTCTTTCTGACCTTCAAATAAACGTGGATGACCAGCTCCTAAGCCTTTGGCTTTCAGGTAGAGGGTCTGCTGGGTGTGCTGTCCAGGGGCCTCAGCTGCCGCCCTGCTTCCTCTCCGTTTGGCCTCCTCTTTTCCACTTCTAGTTGCCAGGAGACAGCGAGATACGAAGTTGCTATTAAATGGACTTAATGACTTTTTTGGTTTGTTTTGCACTAAAGTTTCTGTGATTTAATAATAAATAAAGTCTGTTAACCAGACCTGAGCCTGAGTGCTTCCGTAACACCCCAGCCAGGGGAGTTTGGTTTCTGACCTGTGGGTGTCCAGCAGTCCTATAGCCCCACTTGGCCACAGAAGGCAAGCAGAGTGGGCAAAGAAATCCTACTTGGCTCCTCTCTGATCGGCCCAGGGTCGCAGTGGGTCAAAGGAACCCCTGAAAGTCAGGCCCAGATCTGCCCTGCCCTTCACCCTCCCCCCTTCCCTGGGCCAACCCAAGGGAGGGTAGTTTACCAGAGCCAGAGCTAATTGAATGAATTGAATTACTGATTCCTTGTGAGTTGCTTTTCTTATTTAAAATTCAGACCATTCCAGAAACGTTCAGTGAGTACCAGTTAAACAAAATCAAGGGGAAAATGTTAAGGGAATAACTTAATTTAAAAAAGGAATACACACAAACACATTCAGAACCCAAGAGAACACCAGTCATTTCTCTTTAGGAGCCGGGCACGTTTGGGAAGCCAGTGAAATGTAGAGAATGCGGTTCGCCGACGTTGACCATGTCCATGTGGGGAGGCAGGGATCACTGTCAGCCCCTAGCTGGATGTCCAGCTGGGGATGTGCTAGAAATGCATTGGGACTTGAACTGAAGTCAGGGAGCCAAGGCCAGGCAGGGTACTCCAGCTCTGGGCCTCCCTCTTCTGGTCTGAAAGTCGGGGGAGGGGAGGGGAAGAGGCCCCGCTTGGCCTCTTAAGAGCTCAGCCTGGGCTGAGTTGGTCCTCACGCTCCTGAGCCCCCGGTGACCCTCCTTACCTGTGTCCTTAGATGCTTAACATTTTTGTTTGGTTTTCTTAAAAAAATAACAAATTTTATGAAGATAGAGGTCAGGTGCTGAATGGGCATCTGGCAGAAGTGGAATCTGAGCAGCTGGTGCGGGCTGCCACCAGGCCAGCCCGAGGTCGTGCGCCCAGAGCCAGCCTGGGGAGGGGCCCACACTGTGGTCCTGCTCTGCCCTGGGAGAGATGGGGGCAGGTGCTGCTCACACCGGCGAGGCTCCCGTCTGGTCATAGCTCTGTGATCTCCAGGGGGCTCTCCAGGATCACATCACGAAGCTTGTGCAGGGGTGTAGATTTGGCCGACTCTGTGCGGGCGTTGCGCTCAAAGGCACTGGCTTCAGCTGTGGTCAGCGTCTCCAGTGAGCGACCCAGGCCCTTCTGGTCGTCCTCGGGCAGGCTGTTAAGGTCAGTGGCCAGCAGAGTGCCCGTGCTGCCGTGCACCGCGTGGATCCCGTCAGGCCCCTTGAGCTCTGTCGGCGGCTTATGGCGGAAGCGCAGGCTGCCCTGACCGGGGCTGTGCTCCCCTGGCTCCTCCTCCAGCTCAGTCTGGATCAGCTGCAAGAGGCCAGGATCCCCCAATGGCTCTGAGACCCACCCATGCTCAAGGTCATGCCCAAGGGCTGAGCAGGTGGATGGCCCCAGAGTCCCACCTCCTGTGTCCATTTCCTTCCTACTGCCCACAGGTAGCTCTGCAAGCACCTCTAGGCTTGTGCTGCAGTGGGCTGGCCTGTCCAGCTGGTGGCAGTGTTTCTCAAACTGGGTACAGAGGGGAACCCGGACACTTAGGGTGTTAGGGATGTGTTCTTGCTTCCCATGAGAATCTTGAATTTTGGTATTTGCTTTGAGAAGGGTCCTGTGGTGGAGTTTTGGTATCTGGATTTGTCAACAACTTGTCCTCGAGCAGGACATGTAGGGAGTCCACAGGTGAAGTTGGAGGGGTGATAGGATATAGTAGAAACTCAACACATGGTGGCACTTTTGTCCCGGGTGGAACTGTTCATTGTTAGCCTATTCCGTTTGGGAATTGGCCCCACTGGAAATCTGGGGTTTTGAAGAAAGTGAATTTTTAAAGTGTTGACATCATTGCAGGCAAATAAATTTATGTAGGCCCATTCGACCCTGCAGCCTGTTTCCTATAAGGACATCAGATGCCTTTTAAAGGCATCTTTTTGGGGTTCAAGTCTGAGAAACACTCCTCAGCACCCACTCTAGGAAAGCCCACTGCAGAGCCCAGAAAGTAGACTGGGCCTGCCGGCTGACTTCCTGGGCCCCACCCATTGCTGTCTTTGGCCCTGGCTGCTGAACTCTAGGGATTGAGAAGGATGTGGGTGGCTGGAACGAGAGATTGAGCGAGAGAGGGAGGGAGGGAACGAATGAGCACCCCCAGGGCTGGGGCACAGCACACAGCTCCGGGCCCGCCCGGCTACCTCAGAGATGGAGGAATGGCAGGAGGAGGCTTTTTGCACCATCCGCTGTGCAAAGAGCTTTTTGAGCCGCAGGTAATCCTCCAGGACCACCTTGAGCAGCGATCCCTGGGGGAGCGAGAGGGTTAACCCCCCACCAAGGCCTTCCCCTGCCTGTCATACCCCTTGCTCACTCCCATAACGCGGATGGAGGTGATGGAAGGTGCGTAGGCACCTGATCCGAGGGGGAAGAATTGGGAGCAGAGCCTGGTGACAGTGGCCAGCTAGAACCCACGTGGGCTCCAGGCCACTGCAGGCTGAGGTAGCTCCTGGTCAGCCAGATGCCCTGGCCTCTCTGAGCCTCGAGGTGGAGAAAGCGGTTTCCCAGGATCCTCCCCCATCCCTGTATCCTGGGGAACTGGTCTAAGCTCAGCCAGAGGCCTGGGTGCGGGCCCCTGAGGGGGTGTGGTGCAGAAGCCTGCGGGGAGGGCTCACCTTGATGGGTCCCTCCCGAATGATCTGGCCCAGCTTGGCAATGTTGTCGTACTCTTGGATGGCTGCCCGCAGGTACCGGTCATCATCAGGCTTGACTGCTGCTGGTTCACGCCCAAAAGTTCCCTGGGGAGAGGGGACATTAGCCGGAGCAGAGGTAGACCGCATGCACACGTATGTACACACACCCAGGGTAGTGGATACAACCCGCCACCCTCATCCCCCAAGGAACCCAGCTCCTTGGCAGGCAGTGGCAAAGACCTGCTTTACCTCCACCCCGTCCCGCACGGTTGTCCACCCCCTGCCCCTAGCTCTGGCCAGGGCTCACATGGGTGCGGGTGGGGCTATTCCATAGGTCTGCGATCTCACTCAGGTTCTCCGGCAGGTCGTCCTCATGCTCAGCCTGGGCGGCCAGCTCCAGGTTCCGGCAGAAAGGATCCAGCCACACGGGGTTGGCCCTGCAGGTGGGGAGTGGGGTGGGTGGGGTGCGGAGGGACAGATGCCCCTGTAGCTTAACCACTAACCCCTGCTCTTTTCTTTGGCCAACGGTAGTACCTTCCTGGGACTGGAGGTTCATGGCCTTGAGAAGTAGGCCCCTAGCCCATTGCATTTGGGCGCACAGCCACGCTAGGATCCCTCAAGAACCAGGACATGTTGATCTCGATTAGTTTTGGTACAGAGGCCTCACTCTGCACCTGGAGTCCAAGTCTATGTCTGCTGGAACTGGGGGCCCAATTGGGGTGTTGATCCCAATCCCAGCTCAGCCAACGCTTTGTGGAGAAAGCTGGCCACCAGGGGGCACCCACACCCCAGATTTTAGCCGGTCTGGTCCCTCAGAGCTTGAGGGGTGTCAGACAATCCGCTCCCACTGGGTCCTGGGCATGCCTCCTCAAAGTGACCCTGAGGTCTCAGGGGCCCCACTCACCCGTCGAAGGAATACTTGTTGGTGTTGGGCATGTCCATGATGTCAATGAAACCACGATTTCCTGTAGGGAGAAGTTCTGGGGCATGGAGGGGAGGGAGGCACCCTGCTGGGGCTGGTGGAGCCTGAGCCAACCTTATGAGGCCTAGGTAGGCACTCTAGGCCCCCAGAGGCCCCTCCTGCCTTGTCATCCTCACCCCCCCACCCCCCTGCCCCGCCTCAGTCCCCCATCGTAGCCCTTGCTCACCTGCCGAGCCAGCCACAATGGCTTTGAGCTTCCTCTTGTGTCTAGAGAGAAGCAGAGAGAGGGGCTGGTGAAGGAGGCTGGGTGGGGCTGGCATCTCAGGGCCCTGCCTGCCTCTGTGACTGTCCCAGGAGCAGGGCTGGTCAGCCTTTCCCAGGGCAGGGAGGTGTAGGAGTCACTCACACGGTCCTGTAGTACCAGTTCATGAGGATGAACAGCATGGCAGCCAGGAAGAGGAGAATGGCCAAGACAATGATCGCCATCTGGGGGAGTGGGGCCAGGCGTGAGTGGGCGAGAGCACCCAGGGCAGAGGGGTGGTGGGACGGGGCGCCACCAGGAGTACCTACCTGCAGGGCGGACATGTCGTCGGGCAAGCGGGCAGAGATGGCAGGCTGCACGTCCAGGACATTGTAGTTCCGGAAGAGGTTCCGCAGCTGCTCCTTGTTCTCGTCAATCATCTGGATCACCCTGAGTGAGGGGAGGGGGCCTCAGCTTCCCTCTTCAGCCATTCCTCAAGAACTCATCCCACTCAGAAGGCTCTGCTGCGCTCCTGCCTCCGACCCCCAGATTCACCCCCACCAAGCTTTGCAAGATCAAATCCCACTCAGCTAGAATGGTTTTGTATCTTACAGGGTTTACCACTCCTCATACAGGATCCTGCTTGTTTCCTCACCATCCATGTAATACTCCCCCATTTTACAGATGGGGAGAGTAGGACTCAGAGGGGTGGAGCTCTGCTCATACCCGCAAACTACTCTCTACTAGCCCTGCCCACCTCTGGGCGAGAGCCCCACACAGCAGGCCTGATGGTGTTATCGGCCTCTTTCGGTGGGTCCCCTCCCCGGCTCCAGGCAGGCAGGTGGACCGACCAGACCCCACCCACCGGTCCACGTCCAGGATGCGGTTGGTGTCACGATTCACCACGTGGATGAGCAGCTCTGTCTGTGCGAAGTTCACCCGACCCTTCTTGTCCACATGGAACTAGGTGAGAAGAAGCGTCAGGGGGCGTGGCAGGAACAAGGAATGGGATGGGGAGCTGTTCCTGGCCTACCCTGCCGATAAACCTATCACTGCTGAGTGCTCACGGAGGCCCACGCGTGGTATCAGTCACTTGGCTGCATTGGGCCAGGTGCTATCACTGGCCCTATTTTTATAGGTAAGGATGCTTGATGGCTAGAGACGTGGGAGGACTTTCCCAAGGCCATGTAGCTAGGGAATGACTGAGGGGCTACAGAAACCCCCTTTCATTCCCCTGACCTTTCCGCAGTGGCAGTGCCCCATCCCTGTGGCGTGGTCCTCCTCCCCTCATAGCCCGCAGACTCAGGGTGGGTTCCATGGGGCACCTGCACGTCATCAGTGTTGACAATGGCACCGGTGATATTGGAGAGCAGGCGGATGAACTCTTCCTCAAAGCCACGCACGCGGTCGGGGATCTCGTTAATGACGATCTTAACACGCTGGTCATCCCTCAGGATATAGATGCCGATGATGGCCGTGTCATTGTGGCCTGCGAGGTCCCGGGCCACAATGTCCACCACAAAGTAGCCAGGGCTGTAGGCCATGAAGAGGTCAAAGGTACGCAGGATGCCATCCACACTCCCTGCAGGAAGAGCCCGCGGGCAGGGTGCAGCTCAGGGGCCACCCAGTGCCCCTCAATCCCCTGGGGAGGGGCGAGGGCCAGGGGCATTTGGACACACTGAGGGGAGGCTGCATCTCAGGCCACAAGTCCCCGCAGGGCCTAGCAGAGCAAAGCTGATGGGGGGGGGGGGGGGGACAAGTGAGCATGAGTGTTCCGTTCATCTGAAGGAGCAGCAGTTCTGACCTCCACTTGGTGGATTATTATCCTGGGAGAATGCAGCCAGTGCTGCCACAACCGGTGCTTCTAGAGATTTCTAAGGTTTTACTTAAACACTGCAAGTTAAAACACAGCTGTGGGCTGCAGTGTCCCAAGGGTGACAAGTCTGGGACTCCGCTGTCCCAGGCAGGGGCGATGGGAGACGTGTGAACACCTCGGTGTCTGTCTCTGTCACACACACATGCACTTCAGAATTCCACAGCCATACTAGAGACATAACCAGAGGTCGTACAGTAGTCTTCTCTTAGAAGACCATAGACCTGGGTTCAAGATCTGCCACTTTTTCAGTGTGTGACCTTTAGCAAGGTACACAGCCCCTCTGTGTCTTAAGTTACTAAACTAAGCAGTAGGAGATGAGAAGACGTAGGGATGATGTCTGGTTGTGTGACTGGTTGTGAATTAGCCTTCGGAGGATGGTTAGGGGGAGCATATCTGAAGACAGAGGTGAAGGTCAAGATGGTATTTCAGGAAGTGAAGACAGGGCGAAGGCCAATGGAAGATGGTACAGAACAGGCTGAAGGAGTGAGTGGTGAGGGGCTCAGCTTGGGTGGGCCTGGGGCCCTTACAGATAGTGGGGGGCTGTGGAGCCAGGAAGAGGAGGGACCAGGAGGAAGACCTGGTGAGCTTTGAAAGCCAGGCCAAGGAGTCTAGACTGACCCCTGTAGGCGAGAAGAATGGGGAAGGTTTTGGGTAATGGGACACCCTCCAGGCCTTGCAGAACCTGACCCAAGAGGCTCAGTTGTCCACACAGGCCGATGCACAAGTAAACATGCTTGCTTTCAGGTACATATGTGCTCTTTGAATTCTGGCTCCTCGGTGCTTAGCACAGTGCCTGGCCCGGGGGAGGGGGAGGTGCATAAATAGGAAGATAGGTGGACACACCAAAAGGAGGGTGGGAAGGTGCATGAATGGACAGATGGGTAGATGGGTAGACGGATGCATGGATGGGCTGACTGACACACGGGTGGGTGAACGGATGGATGGATGAATAATGGATGAGAAGATGGGAGAGATGGAAGGAAGGAGAAAGTGGGTGGGTAGATGTAGAGATGGAAAGGGGGATCAGAGACTAGAAAGATCGGTGGGTGAATGAACGGATTAACAAATAGCTGGCTGAACGATGGCCAGATGGGTGGGTGGACCGAAGGACTGACATGGCTGGCTGGCCAGCCACTCATACCCTGTGGTGCCCACACAGACCCCATCTCCTCCAGACTACAGTCCAAGCAGTGACAGAGGTCTTGGGTGGAGGCTCCTACCCATGGTGAAGACCTGGCCCACGTCCTCAGAGTCATTGGCAAGGGCCCGGAAGTAGTGGATGGCCAGGATGCTGTAGAAGACCAGGCTGTTGTTGCCAACGTCTGCGTCCAGGGCCAGCACCTGGATCAACTCTGAGCCCACCTTGGCATCGGTGGCCACTCCTGCAGAGAACGGGCAGGTGGGTGTAAGCGGCAGGGCAGGGGCCGCCCCGCCCCCCAGACCCAGGCTCTGGCCCCTGCACCTGCAGTGTACTCAGCCTTGGTGAAGCGCGGGGGCTGGTCGTTGATGTCTTCTAGCACGACGCGCACCTCCTGCAGGGTGAGGTCAGTGACCACATCGAGGGCTGGGGAGGGCCCACGGGGAGGTGTCCAGCTGCGATTGCTCGAGGCCTTGACGATGAAGGAGAAGACGGCTTCACGCTCCCGGTCCAGGTCCCGCAGCACCAGCAGATGCCCATCAGGCTGCAGATGGAAGTTCTTCTCTTCGTTGCCGGCTGAGGATGGGACCACGGCACAGGGTGAAGGGGCAGGGCTGGGGTGGGGCATACTTGGGTCATCTCCAGCCCCAGGGTAGGTAGGGCACTAGCCCTGGCAGGCCCCACCTGCAATGAAGTAGTACACGATGGCGTTGGGGCCCTCGTCCGCATCCACGGCGCCTGTCACGTTGCCCACGAGGGTGCCACGTGGCGAGTGCTCAGGCACTGTCAGCAACTGGTACTGGGGGCTGCCTTTCTGCAGGGGGGAGGGGGATGTCACATGAGGGCCAAGGCCAAAGGATCTTGCGCAGTACCTTTGTAGGTGCTGAGGGACTTTATTGCCCAAGGCTTGTGGGGTGAGCAGGACCTCTGTAACCTCAGGGGAGCGTGGGCTGGGCCTGGTCTGGCAGGTTCTATGAAGTATCCCAGCACCTGAATGGATGTTTGAACAAGGGGGCACACTCTTTTAAAAAAAAAAAAAAAAA